CATATCAATTTTTCTATTTGGGCTAGGTCATCCAAAACAATATTAAATAGTGTGTAATTACCCAAAGAATCTAGTTATAAGTAAAGACTTTCCTTGCAACGCCATTTCATTGCAATGCCAGAGTTAGCCTTAAAAACTAGTAAGTACATTTTAATGCTAGAACTTTTATTTTACAAATAATATTTTTATCTTCTTAAAGTCTAGTTTATATTTGCTAACAAGTGATATGCTTTGTTCCCTCTGAATTATTTCTACATTATATTTAGTTTAAGGAGCAAAAAAAAACAAAAATAATCTTCTTGTTAAAGATAATTTCCATAATCATTCAAAAAGTGAGTTGAACATTTACTGTATTTTTTTAAAAGACCATAAAAAGGGAAATAACTCAAGGTAGAGAATTCATGAATAGATAATCACTTTCTATAGACAATAAGCAACGTTCCAATAAGCCCTGAGAAATAGCTAATTACCTTTCCAGGTGAGCAGACATTATTTTGTTTTCCTGTAGACTAAAAGGAACCTAAAGATAGTAAATAGTAATGTGTTCCCAATTTTCAAAAGAACATTAAAACAATTCTTAGTCCTCATTATTTAGCTACCTCAAATTCTACCAAGATAATAAAACCTAAATAAGCACAAAAAAAATTAATTTTTGCTATGTCAAAAAATAAGGAAGCAATGAGTAACTTTTGTTTATGAAGAGTTGATTAGTCTGAATAAATCTGACCACTTATTGATGAAGTTACAAAATGAATAAAATCTAAAGCACTCTAGATTTAATGCTTTGATGATAATAAAACACTTGATAAAGCCCAATGAGTCCTCCACACTATATTAATTTAGGATAGCTTAGATAACAAAAATCAGCTAAGACTTTGCAACTAAAGAAAAAACAGAGATAGGTCATTTAAGGAAAAGGTAAAAGTTGATAAAGGCTATAGGAATGGGAGGCAAGACCAAGTGAATTTCAATGATTTAGAAGAAGTGAGTGCATATCAAGGAACTAATTAAAAATTTCTGAGTCCTTGAATTTTAAAATACAGCAAATACAAGACTGTAGATAAATATCACAAAAAGAAATAAGATGAGATCTTAGAAAATAAAAATCGTCTGGATAAAATAAGAAAAACTTTGTCAATGTTGAATTCAAAATTTGGCAGAAACTCATTAAGTGGTAACAATGCTTCAGAAAGCCTGAGTATGGGCTGGGGTGGAGGAGACAGCCAGGGCAGGGTCATTAGAAGGACTCTACTTGAAAGTATTAGTAATACAGTATGATAGTAGAGAATTGTGACATCTGATGAAATTATTACTGCTGCACTTAAAGTGCTCAGAATGAATGCAAAAGAAATGGCAAAGCCCAAACTGACTTTTAACACAGCTGTATTTTAAATTGTACTTTCTGATGTACATGTTTTATTCCCCTTCAGATTACACCCCATCCAATTGAAAAGAAATCAACAGAACCTAAGATCTTTTCCATAATGGCCCAAAGAATATTCAAAGATTCAGCAGCCTCTCCTAAGGCTGCTTCTAGCTTTCTCTCTTCTACTCAGTAATGGGTTTCCCTTGAACTGAAGCTCCCTGGGCCCAAAGTTCTTCCCAGAGGTACATCTGAGTCGGGGAGATCCCAAGTATACCTTGGGTGGTTTGGGTTCTTTAATTACACATAGATCTGTTGATTTACAGTTATGAAGTCATAAAATGGGAATTTCTGGTCTTTGTGGGACAATGATGTCAAAGAGACTCTAGGGGGTATGTGGCATATCTGAACTGAAACCAAATATTCATGTTTTCTCAACAGATACAACAGTATCTTAAATAATAAGAACCTAAACATACTGATGGTTTTTATGTCTGGTACTGTCACTCAGTTTGTGTCAGTTATTCTTTCTTCATATCCACAAAATTAGCAAATATGAGACTTTTATGGGGAGGTTATATAAAAATAAATATTTCTTGGCCACCATAAATGTTATAAAAAAATATATGACTGTCCTCAACATTTCTCACGCTGTTGATACGTTCTACATTATTGTCTGTACTTTGATATCTCTTTGAAATTGTAGGTTTTTGACCTGAAGAATATATAACCTAACAGTATCTTTTACAGATAAGGAGACAGGGCATTTGAGAGATGCAGTGGTTTACCCCATGTGGCACAGTCAGTGACAGCAGAGCCTACAATAGAGTTTCTGTCAACAGGATTCCATTTCAGTTCTTGAAACATTCTGCTGCCATTCTCCTGTTCACCTTCTTATTCCAAAGTTACTATTGGCATTTGAGGGAAAAAAGAGCTTAGAAATAGTTATCTAAAAGAAGCATTGTGTACATCCACATGGATTTGTCTTTGTATTTCAAATAACAATTAATGTATCAATACACTTCCTCCACTTGCTACTACATTGTTATGCATTAGATATTTATCATTTGCATCACAAAAAGAATTCTATTTTCATTTACTATGCTGTTCTGACAATACTATGATGAACTCTATTCTATGTAAACCACTAAAAATGGCTCTTTTTAATCATCCATCTAAGGCTTTATTTAGCTTGTACCCAACTTTATGTGGTTTTAATTATTTGAAATGCAGATACGTAAGATCCAACATTTATTAGCATTTTATCTTAGAAATTTATTTATAAAATAAAGTATTGCTCTGTGGTTTCAGAAAAAAATTAATAAATATCTCTGAATAGATGGTAATTTCATGTTCATTTTCAGAGAGATTTAGCTACATTAGCAGTGCTATTTCATGACACCCATAATTTTCTAAATTGACTTATTTGATGCTCTTTAGAATCTATTTTTCTGAAGACTTAGATTTTTATCTCTGTTGCTGCTTTTGAAATGCTCTCCATGATTGTGAATCCATCTAATGTAATTTTCACATTTGGTGTCATTTTTCTCAAATGACAATACAGGGCAAGAAAAACAATTTGAAAGTTCTTCATACCAGCCTAGTATTTTGATTCAAAATATGGATAAAATGTAAGAAAAAGAGAAATAGGAAAATTTGAAGGTCTCTGCATAAGAAAACCTAGTGTTAAAATCAAACAGATGGACTATGAGGGGTAAGCTGTGGAGTAAGATAGGGTAATAAAAAAGAATCTCAGCAGAAATGAGCCTATGAACAGCAAAGAAGTGAGAAAATGAGCAGCTCTCTTTCCTTTTATTAACACTTTTGTGGAAACCTTATCTCTACTTTGGCCCCTCTCATCTTTAGCCTATATCCTAACACCTCACTTTTCAGCACCTCACTTAGCTTTTCTTAAAGTAATTCAAGTACTACTATTACTACTACTACTACTACTACTACTACTACTACTACTACTACTAATAATAATAATAATAATTGCATATAGATTTCTTATACTTTAATTAAAACCTCCAATAATGCCTACATTTTTATTTGGCAATGTTTGAAAGGTCTCTAGGGGAGCCAACTATGTCAGCAAGGAGATCTGCTGTGAAGACACTGAGTCCCACGGCATTAAATGAGTATTCATTTCTACCAATAATGTATTTTTTGTAGGTTCTGACTTTACACTAAAATGAAAAGGAGAAAGTCTGTAAAGATAAATAGATAGATGATAGATAGATAGATAGATAGATAGATAGATAGATAGATAGGTAGAGATATGTGTGTGCAATATGTCAATATTCTCTCTCTCTCCCTTCTCTCTGTCAGAAAGGTCTCTTATCTCTTATCCAAGTAAAGCAGCATTTAGAACTTGGTAATCAAGATCAATGTACATACTCTGTAATTCAACAATATTTGAGTTGCTTTAAAACAATACTCTCTCATGTTGTTGCAGACATCATGTCCTTGCTTTCTCTCTAACAAGAAGAAGTCAGTTGTAAGCAATTAATAGAGTGGGAGTGTACAGTTCTCAACTGGATAACTTAGCTGATCCCCTGACACTCTGCCTGAATTAACCCCTAGTTAAGAATGCTGAAATGGAATCTTGGTCCAGAGCCTGGGATTGGTGGATACACCTTCCCAAATTCACACCCTTGCTGTCCTCGGGCAACCAATATCCCTAAATCTGAGAATGTATTCTAGGTGTATCAGTCCCAGCAGCTGTTTCCTTGAAGGTGGTGTAGGCAGAGCAGCTTAGACTCCTAGAGGAGTCGCATTTAACCACAATTGCTGGTGAGGCAAGCTGGATCTCCTGCTAGGCTTCCCAGCTGCTTAGTTATAGACCTGCCTGGAGCATACATACATACCTACCTACCTACATACATACAGACAGACAGACAAACAGACATAAATACATACATTCATACATACATACATACAATAGCTCGTTCCTGCACTCTCGCCCCCATGAGTCACCACCCCTAGAAGGCTGCTTTTCCCAACGCTCCCAGTACCAGGAAGGGGAGCAAAGGTGTTATCTCAAAGTGGAGGCAAGAGGAGAGTTAATATTTGCTTTGCTATTCAGAGAAGGGGAGGCAAGTATGCTGTGAGTGAGTGAGTGAGTGAGTGAGTGAGTGAGTGAGTGAGTGAGTGGGTGAGTGGATGAGAAGAGGCAAGTTTTTGCAGGGGAAAATTATCAGAAAAGAGGAATAGGCAGAGGTCGGTGCCCCAGCTCCCCTCGGGGCCTCAGAAAGTGGCACACACCGTAATTCCCTCTACAGAGCCTTACAAATTTCCACAAACAATGACATCACTCGGGTGCCGCCGATCAGGTTACTAATGGGGGGATTTTCCTGGGAGCAAGGAGGGCCTGGGTAAGGAGATGGAGGAGCTCTCCGGGGTGCTGACAGGGACGGGGGAGAGGACTCTCAGAGAGAAGCACCCCCCTAGCCGAGGCAAACCCGCCAGGCCGGGGGCGGACAGGGGCGGGCCCGGGGTGGCCCAGGGCGGGGTTCGCTGCTTCTCCCATCGTCATTGGCTGCTGGAGGATGCACGTCACCCAGGCTGGTGCTCTCCTCCCGACCCAGTGGAATTAGAGCTAAGGAGGAGCTGAAAATGCAGATTTAGCATCAAGCACAGACATACACTCGCTCTTTCTCTCAGATACACACAGCTCCCCACATTTGCACCTCTGCCAGCGAACTGGGCCGCCTGACTACACGGCTTCCCCGCGAGCCAGATGCTGGAGATCACACACTGATTTGCTGCTTTCTATGCCCCTAGTCTCTTCCTCTACACAAAGATTTCTTTTAAAACAACAAACAAACAACAAAAACTGTATATACATATTTTTTTTTATTTGCATCTTTCCTCCGGGTCCCCTGCTCCGCCAGCCTGTGCGCCTCCTAGCACCACTTTCCACTCCCAAAGAAAGATGAAAGGTGGCTGTTTCTCCCGGTGGAAGGCGGCCGCCGGGCTCCTCTTCTGTATCATGGTCTTTGCATCTGCCGAGAGACCAGTCTTCACGAATCATTTTCTTGTGGAGTTGCATAAAGGAGGAGAGGAAGAAGCTCGCCAAGTTGCAGGAGAACACGGCTTTGGAGTCCGAAAGGTAAGCTATCCCTTGCATTTCGCATGTTGTTTCAAAACGGGGACAGCCCTGCGCAATCTCATTGCAGATTTGCAAGTTTTCTCTCTTTCTCATGCGATGCAGACATTATGCCATCGGCTCTTTAACGCGACATTGCCTCCAGTGATCTTTCACGGGTTATGTAATTAAAATGTCCTTCAAATTCTACTAGTAAGGTCATTAAAAATAATTTATTGCTCTTTGACTTGGTAGCGAAAACAGGATGACACATTTCAAACAATGCTGTGCGTCGGGCTGCTGTCCGAGGTACCAAGTTCTCAAGGCTGCCTGGGAATGGAGGGATAAAGTGCTGAACATCTGGGCTTGGCGTTGGCTGTCCTGCCAGAGATATATCCCCTGCTCCCAACCCCGCAGAAAGAGTAATTTCGGACGGACAGGGCTAGAAGCTTAGACATTGTAATTCATCTCTGTGCTCTTTGGACCCCGCGCCAGGAGGATTTCCCTCCCGGTGACTTCGGTCCCCGCTCTCTTCCAGGGAAAGCAGACCTGAACTGGTTTTTCTTCCCAAAATCGGGGCTGAACTTCTCGCCTTCGTCCCCGCCCACCACAGCCCACCCCCGGAGCGTACTCCTAGTTAGTGCTCACGTTCTCAACGAACAGCTATAGAAGCTGGAAAGGTAGATTTTAAGGGGAGTTTCCTGCGGAGAAGTCGGGGTGCCTCTCCTGGTTTGTGAGCAGCCGGCTTGGCTTTCCCAAGAGGACGCGGGGATCCCCATCCCAGTAAGTTGTCAGAGTTCTACGGTTTGGTCAACTGGATGGGGCTCCCAGTCTAGGATGCCTGGGGACTCCTTTGGAGAGTTCAGGGTACCCATCCTGTGAAGGAAAGGAAGAGAAGAGCACTGGGTGACTTACCTGCTCTTTTTGCGAAATATCATGTCAGGGATATCAAGTGTCCTTACGGGACCTGGTGAGTGGTGGGATAGAGTAAGGGTGCAAGGAGAAACCGAGGAGAGCAGAACCTAGAGGACAAAGGGATGTAATTTGGCAACCAGAGGGCCGGCTGGAGGTTTGTGGGATTCCGGGCCCAATCTCCCTCTTGAACCCAGGAAGGAGGCTTGAGATGAAGGGTGGGAGCTCTCTGTCGTTGCTTTTGCTCCTCAAGGGCAGCGCGAACTGGGACTCATATCAGTCCCTCTGTCCCAACTTCCCACGCCTCCCACCTCCCTCCCAGCCGCGGCAAGTGCTCTTTCACATGCTGCGAGCTCTCTCGCCTCGGTAGGGCGTTGGCAGTCGCAATTTCGACCCCAGGTGGCTTTGACAGCGAGTTTGTGAGAGGTCTCGAAAGAGGCGCTGGGTCTGCCAGTGGCGCGCGGGCGGGTCTTGCAGAAGGGAACTTGTTGCTCCAGGGAAGCGTGGGTAGAGCAGGAGAAAGAGGACGCCAGCTGAGGGAGCAGCCCGCTGTTGTTCTGGCCCAGGGCCTGGGGACTATTTTAAGAGTGCCGCCAAACCAATAAGCAAGCAGACCCTCCTTCTTTCCCACCCCACTCCTCAAACTTGGGAAGAGCCAGGACGCAGGCGCCATAAATATAATAGTGATTATTATTAGCTGACAGTTATAGGGAACCTTTATGTGCTGGAGTCCTTACATACATTCTTATTTAATATTCTCAATAATTTTTAGGAAGCAACTATTATTATTAACCCTATGGTACTGATAAGGAAATTGACTCAATAAAGCCCATGATAAAAACAACCAAAGATTTAAATGCATATCTTTCAGAGATGAACTCATGCTTTTTACCCTAGTACTTACCAAACCAACCTAAGTGCTCTGCAGGGCATGATGGGCATTGGAGTATGCCAAAGTCTTCAGTTCTAGAGTGTAAAAAGCTACCGTTGATGCACAAGTAGCTGTTACTTTCTCCCCGCTACCATGCACCTTTTCATAGTGTAGGCAGATTTTGCTATCTCCTCTTTATTTCTCCTTTTGAAAATATGGCCCTAGGATATGATCTTAGAAACTTAATCAAATCTAGATGTAGCCAAGACTGATAATGGCTTAACTTACTAATTGTCCAAGAAGGTTACTTTTTTTTTTTTTTTTTTTTGTATACAGGTAAACAACCTAATGAGAGATTTACAGTTTTGATGACAGAATTTGAGCGTGGAGGTGTCGGGACAATCTCATCATAAATGAGGTTGAATCGTCTCAATACACTTACTTTCAAATCTCAAAGAACTCATACTATAGAGTGAAATCAGATACCTAAGTCTGTTTCTCTCTCATTCTTTCTCGAAGAGGAGCCCACTGGTTTTTAATCATGGCCTCAAACCTTCAATTCCTATCTAGGAGACATGGGCTTCTACCTTGCTACCTCTCTCCTTACCTCTCCATATCTCTCTGAAGTAACATCTCTTACCTGAATGATTTTGCTCCAATACATATTTAAGTAAAAATCAGTCTTTGGCAAAATAGTTCTGTCTGATGAATCTTTGCTTAATGCTACATCTGTCTAGAATAAAACCTCTTTTTTCCCTTGGATCCATGTTCCATCCATCCTTCAAGACTGGGCTCCAAAGCTTCCCTGATTCTGTGGACCACAGTGAGCTTTTTTCTCTCCAAATTCCTGTGGGACAAAAAGCAAAGTTTGCACAACATAAGCTAGTATAGTCGTCACTTCTCTAGTCATTTCATATATGTACATAAATATGGATGTAAGTATTACCTTTCACTTAAAAGGTAAATATTCAGGGATATCGTCGATATTTCTGGTTTCCTCTTCATAGCCAGCATATGTAGGTTTGCCAGCCTATAAAAAATCTTTCTTAGTTTTATTTATTACTCCAAATTTCCCAAGCACTGTCTTGTCTTGTTTTTTTATCATGCTTTACTGTACTTTCCTTTTGTTAACATTTGTTATTCATTTTCATTTTAAACCCCTAACATTTAGTACACCTCCCAACTTCCTACTGCCCCATTATCTCTAATGCTCAGTGTCAGACACCAAAGATTCTCAGTAATTATTTATTTACTCAAAAGAAGGGTCAACTATGCACACTAGAGGAACCTGCTATTTTACTAAGTTATCTCATCCAACTTCACAAACCTACGAGGTAGAAATTATTAGCATCAGCCCTAATTCTCAGATGAAAAACTTAAAGTTCCAAGAATTTAAGTAACTGCTCATATCTGAAAAACTCAGATTTAAAACCAAATTTGCTTTACCAAAAATAATTTTGTTTTTCTATCATGCTGCCTCCAGCAAGCCTTTCCTGACTGCTAAGAGCTCTGCCTTTAGGGCACCATTTCAGAATTCTGATATTTTTCTTTTCCTTTCTTTTTTACTACTTTGTTCTATATCTAATACTTATTTGGTATTAACATAAGAACCTACATCATTAAAAATGTGTATGAGTATGTATTTCTTCAGGTAGATCATAAATCTTCCAAGAGGAGAAACAATATATTGTCTTTTTATAGTTCCTATATTTAGCATGGTGGCCTGACATGAGGTATTCGATAAATATTTTGTCGATTATTTTGCCTAACTCTTATTCTCTAAAATGGAGTAAAAATACCTTTGACTTTACTCTCAGAATGGTGTATTATGACTAAAGTTTCCTATTTTATCATGACTTGGCCCAAAGATGTATGTTCATCAGAGAAGAAGCATGTGTCTAGGAGAGTGAATGAATTTACAGTAATAACAAAGGAGTTATTAGAAAGGGTGCCTTAAAATTCTCAATACACTATTTATTTTAATTCCCTTGGAAAAAAACAAAAATTATTTATTAAAGCTATATGTTGAGAGTTGGCCAAAAATTAGGTAAGAATTAAGGAAAAATTCCAAACTGAAAATTGGGTGTTCTTGTTTTGCTATAGTATGTTTTGTTTTTTATCCTTGTAGGACTATGGCTAAGTAAAATCACATGAGTGCTTTATATGTGTGAAAGTTTTTAAAAATTTTAATCTAGCAATAATTGTGCTCTTATGTAATGAAATAAAATTTTTGTCATTTTAGTTTTATTGAAATATAATTTAGGGAAGGGCACAGCTTCATACATTTTTATCAATGGGGCATGCATGTATAACAGGCATCCAGATCAAGAAATAAAATATTATCAGCATCCTATAAGCCTCCCTCTTGCTCACTTGGTTAGTTTTTAGTTTTTGGTTATTGTAAATATTGCTTCTGTGGATATTGTCACATATGTATTTTGGTGAACAAATATATGCTTTTCTGTTGGGAACATCCCAAGGAATAGAATTGCTGAGTCAAAGGGTATGCATACATTCAACTTGTACACTGTGTCAGTTTTCTATTGCTGTGTAACAAATTACTACAAATGTTGTGGCATAAACCCATGCAAATTTATTATTTCATAACTATCATGGATAAGAAGTCTGACACATTTTAGTTGGGTCTTCTACTCAAGACCTCATAGGTTGAAATAAAAATATTGGCCAGGTGTGTCTTTCATCTAGAGGAACAACTAAGGGAAAAATCCAATTCTAAGCATATGTGGGTTTTCAGGAAAATTTAGCTCTTCATAATTAGAGACCTAGAGTCTTCATTTTCTTGGTGGCTATTGTACCAGGACCACTCTCCGCTTCTGGAGACTACTCTTAAGACCTTGGCACATGACCCCCTCTATAATTCTTCTCACATTCTAACCCTTCAAATTTCTTCCTTCAGGAAGGGCCTGGTCCTTGCTTAGGGTTAACATAATTAGGCAAGGCCCACCCAAGACAATTTCTCATGATATTTTTTTCTTTTAATATTGTTTTTTTAAAATTTTCAATTATAGTTGGCATACAATATTGTATTAGTTTCAGATGTACAACATAGTGATTAAACACATATAACTTATAAAGTGATTGCCTCAGTAAATCTAGTACCCATCTGACACCATATGTAGTTATTACAGTATTATTGACTATATTCCTTATGCTATACTTTACAGCCTCATGACTATTTTGTAACTACCAACTTATACTTCTTAATCATTTTCCCTTTTTC